AATTAATTAATTAATTTTTTTCCCCCCCGTTCTCCCAGAGTTCCATGAGTGTAATTAGAGTTTGTCCAGGAAGTTGTCGAGGGCAGGGATGCCTTCCTTCAGCCCTTTGCGCTTGCGGGTCTCGGCGACCACCTGGCAGGGTCGGCTGGTGCTTTCGAAGGGGTCCCCGGGCAGGATCTGCCAGTGGTCAAACACACACTGGGGGAAGGCCTGGCCCCCCGTGTTGGACCTCAAATCCGCTGTGAAACCTGGGAGGAACGAGAGGAGACGTGAGGTGGGATGGGGTGGTGGTGGTTTGATGTCACCGCCAGTAAACCCATGCTCCGGGTCACCACAGGAACCCAGAGCAGCTCCTGAAAGCCTCCTGAGATGCCAAATACAGCTGCAACAAGAGGTGAGGATGGAGAGAAGGCTTCAGGGAGACCTTCTAGCACCTTCCAGGGCCTACAGGGGCTACAAGAGAGCTGGAGAGGGACTTTGGAAAAGGGATGGAGTGACAGGACAAGGGGGAATGGCTTCCCACTGCCGGGGGGCAGGGTTAGATGGGATAGTGGGAAGAAATTCTTCCCTCTGTGGGTGATTGATGAGATACTGGCCCAGGATGCCCTGAGAAGCTGTGGCTGCCCCATCCCTGGAAGTGTCCAAGGCCAGGCTGGAGCAACCTGGGCTAGTGGAAATGTCCCTGCCTATAGCAGGGGATGGGATGAGATGACCTTGAAAGGTCCCTTCCAACCCAAAATGTTCTGCAACCATGTTTTTTTCTCCCAGAAACAAGAAGAAACTGCCTGAAGTTGCACCAGGGGAGGGTTAGACTGGATATTAGCAGTAGTTTCTTCTCCAAAAGGGTGGCCAAGCCCTTGCCCAGGGCACTGGTGGAGTCCCCATCCCTGGAGGGATTTAAAAGCTGTGTGGATGTGGCACTTTGGGGACATGGGTTAGTGGTGGCCTTGGCAGTGCTGGGGGAACAACTGGACTCAATGATCTCTGATCATTCCCAAGGGTCTCCCTCTCCCTCCCAGGCTGGCTCCAGGACTGGCACACTCACCAAAGGACTCGTTGACAGGCAGGTAGGCCTTGACCACAAACATGGGGGTCCCAGCCACCTGGGTCTCCTCAAACACGTGGCCACGCTTCCTGTTCAACACTCCGTAGATGCCACCAACCACCTGCTCCGGGCACTGCAAGAGAGAAGAGCCAGGACCTCAAACTCCCTCCTCACCTTGTCTTTCTCCTCGACCCTCAGTTCTATTTAACCCAGAAGTTTTCACACTGGGAGACTTTCCACGTGAGCAAGTGGAAATCTGGGAATCCTGGGATGTGTAAAAGGAAGGGGGAGAGGGAAGCTGCTCTGAGGAGACACAACTGTGTCCATCGACTCTGCCGGAGCCCCAACAGCAGCTCTGGGATCTTACAGGAAGCAGAGCTCCCTCCCTCCTCTGTGGGGGTGTGTGGGGTGATGGAGGCTCCTCACCTGGATCTCCACCAGGTAGATGGGCTCCATGAGGCGGGGCTGGGCGGTGAGCACGCAGGCGTAGAGGCAGCGCCGGGCCGTGGGGATGATCTGGCCGCCGCCGCGGTGGATGGCGTCGGCGTGCAGGGTCACGTCGTGCACGTCGAAACGCACCGCCCGCATGTTCTCCTCGCACAGCACCCCCTGGCAAAGCAAAGGGAGGGCTCAACCAACAGCTCAGGGACCCCCAGACAGGAGGTTCCAGTCCTTTGGCTCTGTGGAAGCAGCTCCTAAAACAGGAAGCCCACCAAGGAGCCACTTGGCCACTCAACCTCCTTGCCGAGGGATGAACCTGCAAGCCTTCAAAAGGTTGGACTCTTGGATTTTGCTGGCATGTCCCAACCTAAGGACTGTGTGAAGGACCAGCTGGTCCCACCACTGTGGCTCCTCAAATGTGCCTGAAGCCACTTTTAGCAGCATCCTCACAGATCAGATCCAAGGTTCAAGCCAGAAGAGCTGACACACATTTATGGTGCTAAAACCCCCATTCATAGTGCTGAAACTCCAAGTATTTGCCCAAGGAAAACAGGGATTTTTGTCCCAGTAATGTGACAAGAGTTGTTGG